CCCCCCCCCCCCCCCCCCCCGGCGTCTGTTTTTATTGTATCTTTTACCTTTGTTTTTTATATATTTTCAATTATATCTCCTTTAAATACTTCTCTTACGGTTATTTAAAATTTTTTTTTCTAATTACTTTGCTAAATTAATTTATTCACATATGTGTCCCTACATAAATCTTCATAAATTTCAACTTGAGTTGTGAAGCATTTCGCACATGTTTTTTTTCTTTTTTTTTAACCTTTTTTCCCTGTCTTTTGCATCAGATTTTTTCCCCACTTTATTTCTTTTACTGTTCCTTTTTTCTTCCTCTTTTTTCCCTTGGCAATTTGTATAACCATTATTTTAAATGAGTCGTGAGTTTTTTACTAATATTTAAATAAATGAAAAGTAGTCAAAGAAGACGAACAAAATTATTGCTTTGCTTCAAGCCTCAATATTAGTATGTTAGCTACTTTTTGACCCATTTGCGCAGCACAAGCAGCTCTGAGGTACAACACAGCAAGAATAAGGAGTAAGGACTAGTGCTGGAACATTTTCAGAAGCTACAACAAACATACCGAGTCTATGGCTTCCAATTTCATTCCAGTGGATCTAATGAAGCGTCGTAGTTCAGGATCAACCGGTTCAATGTTCCTTCCACTGCCAAGTATCAAAATCTCTGAGATGAAGTATCACAAAAGAGGTCAAGTTCTTAAAAAAAAAAAAAAAAAGGGGGGGGGGTGTTCATAGAAATATTAGAAGCAGAGATGCGACTAACATACCAGCCATTATTGCGTACTAAACCTCATATGTAAAGTTCATGCACTCAACCACATGCATACGGTTCTAGCAAAAAATAAATAAAAGAAACAAAGAAATAAACCATATGACGATCTACCAAATGAAGCACCAATCAAAGACCAATGTTTTAACTTTTTTCTTTCATCTTCGTTTCTTTTCCAATAATGCATCATTCATTTGTGTTCAGTAGGAGGGAGAGATGGAGGGAGGGAGAGGGGTGGAGGGAGAGGGGCGGGTGGAGAGCCTCGATCCTCCTTCTCTTTGGTCCTACTTAGTTGGAAGAATCTAATGGTTCCTAAATTTGATATTTTCTATGGCTCCGTTCACTTCGCTGATTCGAGTTTAGAATTCGAGTTTTTCTACAGTAAAAAGCTCTCACAAACAATCACATCTAACTTTTTTACTACAGTAAAAAGCTCTCACATAAAGTCACATCTCAACTCGAATTCTAAATTCGAATCAGCGAAGTGAACGGGGCCTATGGCTTTTATTATTATTATTATTATTTTTCATTTCTATATGATTACTGAAATTCTTGGTTCTTATTATTACTCAAAAAACCAAAGCATTAAGTGCAATTAATCAAAGATCGAGCTTTTCTTTGAACAGGCATGTGCATGTTTGTGATCGGTAGAGACTTATTATCTTAAAATCCCTTCAGGATTTTGATTTAGAATAATTTGCCGATAGCGACATAGAACAAAGTGCGCAAGAAAAATAAAAACAGTTCAAAAGACAACTTAAAAAGATTAAACAACAATAAGTTCTTACCTGGTATAGGGCGCACAACTTTGAAAATGGATAAACTGCAGCATAACAAGAAACAAAACATACAATAAAGAGTCGAACAAAAACAAGCGACAATATAGATTTTCAACTTACTTGTCAACAAATCTCACCAAAAAACAAATGCATGTGCATAAGAGTGCATATATATGTACACACACACACACACACATGGATACATATATGTACTTTTTTCTATCCTCATAACTGAAATACATAAAAAAAGAAAAGAAAAAAAAACACACACACACACATAAACTTAATAATTTCCAGTAACCATTACTGTATTAATTTGTAAGTACGTTTCCAGGTGATAAAAAACACTGAGACTGTAACATACAAAAATTGGAATAGTTTTCTTTTTTTTTTTTCTTTTTCAAATTGAATTGAAGTAGAATAAAAAGAAAGAAAATGTCCAATTAGCATAAGAAAAATAGAGAGTGCACCTATCAGGAGTGATTTCTGAGAATTTCTTGGGAGCCCAAGACATTAACAAATTCCCAACACAAAGCAAGCTTCCTTCATACTCCACACCATTCACCGTGAATCCCGTATCCGTATACCTTCACCCAAAAAAAAAAATCAATTTAATTTTACTTATTCCAGACCTAACTTCAATTTGTAACATCCACACTCCATAACCAGAAATTGTTCCAGTTCGTGTTTTTCATCACATTTCCCTAATTCTCCATCATATTCCGTCAAATTCTTGGGCGAAATCGTATAAACTTTTTAGTCGCAAGGTAAAAAAGGATAAAAATTTAGTAAAATTTACAGGTTTTCAGACTTCGATCATGAAATCAACCATTTTCACAAATTCAACAGCTAAAATCAACGGTTTGAAACAGAAGAAAACAAATGCGAAGAAGGGATTAGGAAAAACGAAACCGTTGAAAGCGAAGCTGGTCGTCAGGGACGTTGTCGATGAGGTTGATCTGATCGTAGAGGGAGAAGGCTCGTCTGAGGGAAGGAAGCGTTTGTTGATACGACGCCGTTTTCGGCTTCGGCGGCTGTTTCCGGAGGCTCCTTATCAGTTTCGGCAGCGTCGCCACCGCTCTCTCTCCCCCCGCCATTGCCGAATGCTGGCTGATCTCTCTTTCACTTTCTCTCTCCTCTCGCGACTCTTCTTTCTTCTCACTCTTCCGCTTGTTTTACGGTTTTGCCATTGCAGGCTTCTAAATAGGGAAATTACCCTACAAAGAGAAAGGCTGGTAACGGATTTTTTAAGTCAATAGGTCCTAAATGTACACCCATTACTGTTATTTGTTGTAGGATTTATCTTTTTGTTCACCACAGGAGGACTCACTGAAATAGTCCTGGCAAATTCTGGGCTAAGTATTAAAATTGTTATAAAATAAACCACAGTCACATTATTTAAATTTTGTATATTAAGTAAAATTATACTTATATTTTAATATATTTTATTCAATATCATTAGATTTTATGAGAATTTTGGGTTTTTTATGTATATATTTGTGTTTTTAAGGATTTTATGATTTTTAAGTATCTTTAAATGCGATATTATCTGCAATAGTTTATGCCTTCTGGAATACGTCAATTCAAGCTTAAAATTTATGGTGTTCTTGTAAAATGCCCAAATTTTTTAGGTATTTGGTTGAATTTGAAGAAGAGAAAATTGAAAATTGTTGAAACTTACCATGGGTTTGATTTTTACCCAGTACTTTTTATTAATATCCATTTTAGGCAAATGTTATATTAGTCAAAAAAGAATTTAATCAAGAGTAAGGTGTAAAAATTTTAAAAATTTATTTTTAAAATAATTTGACAAATCTCTTTTTCTACGGTGCTTTTATGAGAATTTCTTGAGCTGTCATTGCTGGTTCCCGAATCGAATTCGGGTGCGGAAGCGTGGCGGGGAGGCGGATCGTGTATAACAAAAATTTTCATAAAACTTTTGAGATATTCTATATATTATATTAATTTATGCATGAATAAATTAATCGCATTAATTTACATCAAGAACTCAATCCGGAAAAATACCTGGAAGCCGACTCGGATGATAACTTGAATTCTTTGACCACGAACAGTCCTTACTCCAAGTTTGTGTTTAGAATACCAAAGTCTTCCACGTCAATTCTTTGATTCCATGTAGACGTGTGTGGGGGCACACGTGAGACAAAACAGGTTTCTTAAACGCTCGAATTTCCACAAACACCAACGCATGCACGATGTGAAATTTTTTGGAGAAAAAAATTTTTCTCTCTTTTTTTTCTTGAGAAATTCAGCCACCAACAATTAGGGCTAAAAAAATTGTTTCAAAAATTGCGTCCACAATTTTCTATCATTCTCATATTTAAAGAGTAGAAGTCAAACTTCAAAACAGAATCAAATCCTTATCTCCAATTTTAAATTTTTGAACAAAAAATCCCTTCCCCTTATCTCCAATGTGGCCGGCCACCCTAGGGTTTTCTAACCTTGTGTGTGGCGCCAATTCAGATAGGGAAGGAAGAGAAAAATCATCATTTAATTGAACAACTTATCAAATAAGTTTAAATGGATAAATCTAGATGTGTTCAAATTCAAATTTAAATAATCACATTATTTAAATAATAATTAATTCTCAATTAATTATTTTTTGAGTATTTAATTTTAGAATTCTGTAATTCTAAAATTCTCATTTTGCCCTTTGTGTTTGATAGAATTACAAGGACGATGCGGGGACTAATGGACCTATAATCCCGAGCTCTAATAAAATTAATAATTAATTAAACACTTTAATTAATTAATTAATTATATTAATTCCAATAGTTACTCCACTATAAACTTGGAATTGAACTCTCAAAATTATAGACATTAATTACTTCTAAACTGTGAAGTGTCCATTTGATATAGTCATTACATATAGATCAATCATCCATAAATAATTCATAATTAGAGTCAGGTAGAATCCGTTAAACTCTCTAATTATATTTGCATCCTTGAGTACCATTGATTCTCTAATGGATAGTGATTCATAAAACACATTCATGAACCAGAGCGCTCTTACTAATCCAAGTACCGAATCAACACTCAAGAGAATTATTCATCTACTTCTTTCCCAAGAAAGAATGGATTCCATCTCGTATAATAACATTCCCAGCTACCTATTTCATTATGTCTCCAAAATACAAGGAATAGGATTCAGGGTCTCGGAATCCGTACTGAGTAAATCAAAAGACATAAATCCATAAATAGGAGTTTGTTAATAACTCAGGATTAAGATCATCCTATATATGACCATCGGTAGACTCAATTAGAATTTCTATACTTAACGGAAATTATTAGAAATTCATATTGTGTCTGTGTCCTTAATCCACATAATCTTATTATGCGAAATACACTCATTCAATATCGCGCCATATTAACAGTGCGGATAACACCGTTCCATTCTAAATGGGAATGACATGTATTAATAATGTTTTAATTAAAGATTCAACTTTAATTAAATTCCTTATGAACAATGTTTTTTATTATTATCCTTAAACACTATCCTCTCGTATATAACACTTATATACTATGTTTAAGGTTACATAAACAATCACAGAATTTTCATTTGATATTCATAAAATATTCATAAATATATGCACATAAAATGATGAATAAACTTTTTTATTAATTAAATAATAAATATCCTATTACATCTCATGCTTCTAGGACACTATTCCCAACAGTCATGTGGCGCGGAGGTTGGCCACGCGCGTGAGGAGCGAGTGGGAGAGGGA